TTCTTTTTGTTGCTGTGGCTTTATTTATTTTCCATCACTTACATTTAAAGAAATGTATGGTGACGTAAAGGGCAGTGCTCTAAAATGACACTTTGATTCATGATAAATCAGCAGGTATTCTAATAACATAATAAAACTGGCTAAATAATTGATACCAGTTCACACTAAGAGAAAGGTGGAGTAATATACCTAAAAGTGTTAACAAATTTGCTAAAAGGCCTGAGTAGATAACACTTTAAGGCGTTAGTTTTATGCTGTTAGAATGGCAAATGCCTTTTTTAACACTTAGTCAACAAGGGCTGCCCAAGGAAAAGTCACAGCTTTTATAGTTGGATTATATTCGAATTCTCTTGAAGAAAAGTAATGTCTCATTTTAATCTCACTGGATTGATTGTCTTGATCTTTCTTCTATTAGATTTTTAGAAAGATTGTATATGTATTTTAAAATACTAAAAGGTTTTTTTAATTGTGAAAAACTACCTTAAATTCTGCATTAGCTAATAAGGAATGGCTAAAAGAAATGATTGATGCAGCTTACAGCTGATGCGATTGCCCTGCAGGCAGGTCAGTTCACTGTCTAACACTTGGTAGACAGTTTAGTCAGAAAGAAGCATCTGTTTCTTTTCTTAAAAAGTATAATCAGGAATGATTTTCCTCATTTGTTTTTGTATGCACTGGATATAAAAGAACTTTTTAAAGCTATAAAGTTGTGTTATTTTATTTTTATGGCTTACTTTAGTTGTAAGTAAACGACCAAATTTAAAGGCTTCGGTTTTAGTCTTTGGTGATGATGTTAACACATTGATTCTCTGGGGATTCTCATGCATCTGGTATATCGGCGAAAAGTATATTTACTTTTCATCACCTTTGTAGATCACTGGTTGGAATGGAAAATGACAGGCAGATGTGGTTTGATGTATAATCTTAACAATTTAATATACAAGCACTGTGCACTCTCATTAATGTTATCCAGTGGTAAATGGGAAGGGAAGGTAGGGGAGAAAACACAAGAATCTTCTGCATTTTGTGGCATACAGATGTGCCATCTTGCATGTCAGTGAGATTATACATAGCTACAGAAGAGGGTAAAGTAATCCATTATTCTGGTGGAATTAAGGGTGCCCAATGCGTCTTGCTATCTACAGGCAGTTATTTTCTGGCCATCCTTGATTGTAATTTGGTGGATCAGTATCTGTGTGTTTCTTCTAGTGTCTTAAAAATAATTTGGTGTAAATTACTGTAGTAATTACTAAATAAAAATTATTTAGTTTTGTATTTAGGATGGTAACTAAACAATTTACATGACTGAAGATTTTAAATACAGTTTTGTTTAAATAGATATCCAGAATTTTGCTTCAAAACAGTATCATAATGAATCAAATTTGTGTTGTTGCTCTGAAAGTATTCATTCTGAAATACCATAATAATATTCAAAAAAAGTATGTGATGGGGTAGTATATTTTCAAATGAATATGCAAATAGGCTCTATCGCTGAATTGGCACACGTAAGACTAGTTAAAGATAGCAAGCCTAGGATAAAAAAAATGATTCTCAATTGTATCTGAAACATATACCAGTGGAATGGCAACATGCAATGGAATTGATTCATTTGCCATTATTAATGTCCTGAACACCAGATCTAGTCTAACAATTGAGGAACCCTCAAGATTAAGCACTGTAGTAGAATGAGACGTTCAGTTGATCAAATGGCTGTTGGCTTATATCAAATGAAACTATCGCATTTTTCCTTGTTAATCATAACATTTGACATAATATTTTAAACCAACTATTTGAATACAGTATATGGTGTAGAGCACATTAGGGAAATTTGTTTAGGAAAATTTGGCAGATAGAAGAGGGAATAGCATATAGCTGTATATTAACTTTTGGTTAATTTAAGAAACTTTGTTGACATCAGTGATGGCAAAGCAATAATATTTAAAAACTGATAGGGAAAAAGATCTTCTCTAAGCAAATGCACAAAATAACATAATAGTTCAAAAACTGGTATTAGGAGAATGAAATATTAAAAGTTTCATTCTGTACTTAGTATTATTTTAAATAGTAATATAAGGACCAATTGTGTGATAAATCCAAATTATTTAACAATAATACTGCTTTTTTTTCAGAAATCAATTGAAAATGACAATTGTGTATAAAAAGAGGAAATAGAATTGAATATTCCAGAGTTCCAAGCGGTAATGTGGAGAGATAAAATAGCTGAAACTTTGTTAGCAATCTTTCTGCCACTAAATTTTATATTTTCTAATATAGTCCTTCCTTATAAAACATTCTTAATAGTTACCCATGCTCCCTATTAATTATTTTCATAATACCTATCATGAAACTTCTGTTTCACTGTACAACTTTTGCCATGAACTGCTCTCATTTATAATATTTAGGTCATTTGCTGGATTTAAAAGCAGGATTTCTGAATTGTGGGCTGAATTCTTTGAATGTCCATCTTTGAAAATTCACATATTGATATTTTAGGGATAAGTAGATCTTCATTATATTTAAATAGCTTAAATAATTTTAAATATAATGAAGCAAATTATTAAAGTAGAAATGCTTATTGTTAAGTATTCTTAAGTGTTAAGAAATTGTTAAGTAGAAATGCTTATTGCATGCTTGATCATTAGTGTATATTGGTAGTGGTGGGTTCTGTGAAGTTATCCTTGGTCACAAACCACAATTAAAATATTTTGTACTACATCATTATTCATAACAATAGCATAATTTTAATTTTGAAGTTCTGCAGATGGCATTCTGCACTTGAACAATAGATAATTTTGGCCTTGGTCGTCATTCACACCTGGGACAATTGTGCTAATTTTTTATTAGCTACTCATAAAGCAAAGAGCAGAGTATTTTGTTCACAGCTTTTCTGCCTAGGGATTGGAGGTCCATTTTTTCTCTCACTGCACCAATGGATCTGCAAAATGCTCCTGTAGCCTTTTTCCAAGTTCTCTTTAAGTAAAAACTGATGAAGCAAAGGGAAATTGTGTTTGTGTTGGTGCCAGTTAATCATGCTAGCCTAGCAGCATTTATATTCACACCACTGTAAGAAACATGTAGTTAATTGGAGATTGTGTGTATGTGAGAGGGAGAGGGAGAAAGAACAGTATGTATAATTTATTTATTTTATTATTATTATTATACAATTGTATCACAGCGGCCAGTTGTTTCGCCGGATTTGGCATTGGTTACTAGTTGGGCCCCACCCAGGGGCCTAGGACGTCGTAACATATTTTCGTAATATGCATGCAGATCCAAGCAGTGCGGCTTTTTGCATTTGACTGATGGTGATTTTGTCAATTTTTAACTGTTTCAAATGTAATTCCAGTGCTTTTGGTACAGCACCCAGTGTAGCAATTACCACTGGAATTACCACTGCTGGTTTGTGCCATAGTCATTGAATTATTATTATTATTATACAATTGTATCACAGCGGCCAGTTGTTTCGCCGGATTTGGCATTGGTTACTAGTTGGGCCCCACCCAGGGGCCTAAGACGTCGTAACATATTTTCATAATATGCATGCGGATCCAAGCAGTGCGGCTTTTTGCATTTGACTGATGGTGATTTTGTCAATTTTTAACTGTTTTAAATGTAATTCCAGTGCTTTTGGAATAGCACCCACTGGAATTACCACTGCTGGTTTGTGCCATAGTCGTTGAATTATTATTATTATTATACAATTGTATCACAGCGGCCAGTTGTTTCGCCGGATTTGGCATTGGTTACTAGTTGGGCCCCACCCAGGGGCCTAAGACGTCGTAACATATTTTCATAATATGCATGCGGATCCAAGCAGTGCGGCTTTTTGCATTTGGCTGATGGTGATTTTGTCAATTTTTAACTGTTTTAAATGTAATTCCAGTGCTTTAGGAATAGCACCTAAAGATTTTTAAATTCTGGTATTTTGCGATTTTTTTCATGTTCCTTCTCGTCAACTCTGCTATCATCTGGTATTGTGATGTCTGTAATTGTAACCTTATTTTTCTCAACCA